CAAAAAATGTGCGTATGCCAGCCAGAAAGCTGCCGTGAAGCTGCGCACATTCCCACGTTCAGTTCATTGTTAGTAAATCCAAACGTGAGCGATTCTGAGCGTGAAACCTGGCGTACGCAAAGTTTTTGTGCGTACGCAGCGTTGATACATGAGGCCCCTGGAGCTTTATCAGTCTTGAAAATTACTTTTATTTTCCGTCTTAGTCTTAGTAGAGGATGTAGAACAGTCAAGCTGTAAATAGAGAAATGATCAAAATTTTGGTCATTTTTTAGGGAGATGCTAACGATCTAATCTGATTCAATGAACTATGCTAAGCTAAGCTAAAAGTGCTAGACCAGGGCCTTTAACGGTCGAGAAAATAACAACTTTTCATTTATTACTGATATTAGTACACATGTACCTACAGAAAAGTCTAGCTTTAAATAGAGAAATTTACATAGTTTTTCCATCATTTTTGAGTGAGATGCTAATGGTCTAATCCAATTCAATGATTTATGCTAAGCTAAGCTGAAAGTACTAGACAAGGAGCTTTATCAGGCTAGAAAATACCTTTTAATTTTCCGTCTGTTTTAGTACAAGATGCAACCATGAAAGAGTCAAGCTTTAAATAGAAAAAATTATAAAACAGTTCAGTAATTTTTAAACAGGATTCTAATGATGTAATCAGAATCAATGATCTATGCCAAGATAAGCTATAAGTGTTAGACCAGGGGCTTTATCGGTCTAGAAAACTTTTCATTTTCTATTAATATTAGTACACATTAGTACCTACAGAAAAGTCTAGCTTTAAATAGAGGAATTATCAAAACTTTTTGGTAACTTTTAAGGGAGATGCTAACGGTCTAATCTAATTCAAATAACTATGCTAAGCTACAAGTGCTAGACCAGGAGTTTTATCAGCCTTTTCATTTCCCGTCGGTCTTAGTACACGATGTAACTACAGAAGAAAGAGTCAACCTTTAAATAGAGAAATGATCAAAACTCTTTGGTCATTTTTGAGCGACATGCTAATGGTCTAATACGATTCAATGAACTATGCTAAGTTAAAAGTGCTAGACCAGGAGCTTTCAAGAAAATAATGTTTAATTTTCTATCAGTTTTAGTACAGGATGTAACTACAGAAGAGTTAAGCTTAAGTAGAAACATATTCAAAACTCTGGCAATTTTTTGAGTGAGATGCTAATGGTCTAATTCGATTCAATGATCTATGCTAAGCTAAGCTAAAAGTGCTAGACCAAGATCGGTTAAATTGGTTCAAAAAAATAGTTAAACTCCACTATTTGACTGTAGAGAAGTGAAAAATTTGACTATTTCCATTCTATAAGGCATCCTGGACTGAAAGCTTAGTTTAATTATTTTAAGTCTGATGAGAAACATTGTTTGACAAACTGAAAAACAAACTCAAATTGTGTATAAATGTTTTTTTTTTAGTTCCTTAATGTGCTTTACGCAAGCATTTTTGATAAACTTCCGGTTAAAGGTTAATGTGACCATTTCCAATTTCACTTTTCCTATTAAAGCATTGATAATGTATAATTAATTAAATTGAAATCAGTTAAATAGACTTAAGATTTCATTTAGTTGCTGAAGCGTATAACGAGATGACCATTTAAACACAAGTGCCGTCAGTAGCAGCAGACGAGTGCAGAAACTCCATTAAAATACTGGGGTAAATGTAAATGTGAAGTAAATGTCCAAATTTTGAAGGCATGATGCTGAACAATGTCATTTAATGCAGTGCTTCTTGTCTGGCCTGAGACCCACATTATATTGAATCCCAATCAGGCAGTGAAGATCACTGAGTTTTTTAAGAAATCAGATCTTAAACGCTGTTATTTTAAAAATGGCAGTTCACTGTAATTGCTTGAGCGGGGTTACTAAAGATGAAAAGTCCCGGTGCATATACCACATTGGTTATTTAGTAAAACACTGTTCGACCAGTCGGGTAGGAGAACTGTAAAATTAGTCTATTTCCAAAAATAAAAAGTGAAGTGTTCCTTTAATTCAAGAGAGGAGAAGCATTAGTCCAGACATGTGTGTGTGTGTGTGTGTGTGTGTGTGTGTGTGTGTGTGTTTCTGTGGAGCTTACAGACGTGCATGCACAAATCACTGAGTTTTAGAGGAGTTACTGTGTGTTAAAGGGGAATCAGAAACTCTTACCAGCTCCTTGGGTCCCCAAAGACAGTTAGAGCAAAAGAGAAAGAGAAAAACAGAAGAGAGTGAGGAGGAGGAGGAGAAGACAGGCAGACAGAGGGATATTAATGTAGTTATTATTATCATATGACATCCACATCAAGAGCTGGAGGGAGAGCAGAACACAGCGCAGCGTTGTGAGTATCACTGCTTTTATTGTTGATTTCATCAAAGGCTGTTAATTAGAGCCATAGGGTGGGGGGGTAGGGGTGGGGGTGGGGGGGTTATACAGCTGATCCTGAATAGAGACACACTCACAGGCCTGGATTTACTACATCTGATCATCTTATGGACACATAAATACTTATAGACGACTATTGTGATTAGTGGAGGCTTTGCGCAACAGAACTCTAACATACAGATCCGGAACCATCAAGCAGGATTAGCTGGATATTTAGTTAAAGGAATAGTTCACATGAAAATGTTAATATACTTACTATTTATGGTTAAGGTTATTAAATAGAACACAAATATTTATATTTATGCATATGTGTGTGTGTGTATGTGTATTTTATTCACACACACATATATATATATATATATATATTATTCACACACACACACATGTGAAGAAAGTAGTTCCTCATACAAAAATGTTTTGAGACTCTCTGTGTTTGATTTTCTTTTTTAAACATACGATTATCCCATCAAACTGTTGTATAAATGCAATATCACACTTGTAGCATTGCAATATGGCTGTATATCATCACCCCTTTTTTTCCAACACATTTCTAAACATAATGGTGTTAATAACTCATCTCTAATTTTTAAAAGTTTATTTTATCTTTGTCATGATGACAGTAAATAATATTGGACTAGATATTCTTCAAGACACTTCTATACAGCTTAAAGTGACACTTAAAGGCTTAACTAGAGTAATTAGGTTAACTAGGCAAGTTAAGATAATTAGGCAAGTCATGGTATAACGATGCTTTGTTCTGTAAACTATCGAAAAAATATATAGCTTAAAGGGGCTAATAATTTTGTCCTTAAAATGGTGTTTAAAAAATTAAAAACTGCTTTTATTCTAGCCGAAATAAAACAAATAGGACTTTCTCCAGAAGAAAAAAATATTATCAGACATACTGTGAAAATTTCCTGAATCTGGTAAACATCATTTGGGAAATATAAAAAAAAAAGAAGAAGAAAAAAAAAATCAAAGGGGGCGAATAATTCTGACTTCAACTATAGGTAATCAATAGACTACATAGTAAAACACTTTTAAACATAAAATCCTCTGATTTTAGCTTATATTACTTATACTAATTATTTTAGATGATTTATACAATTTAAATATCTGTGGTACCAACAATGCCTGACTGCACTGGTTTGGTTTTGCCTATATCCAGAGTTTGTTAATCCTCCATCATGGAACAGGCTCTGGGTATATGCGTGTCGCTCATGTGTAACAAATATCAGTGGTGCTTTTCTGAGGTGAATCTACAGCTCGGGACATAGATTCTATCACTTCAGGAGGAAGAGGAAGAAAAAGGAGGATGAGAGAAGTGATGAACAGCTAGAGTTACATACATATTCAGCAGAAGAGGAGAGAGGAAGGGCTGCACCATTCATCAAACTAAACAACAGAATCATCACACTGTTTAGTGCAATTATAATAATGCAAATGCTGCAATTTCACTGACGTTTCAGAGTAAGTACTGCTCCTATTGTGTGCATTTTGGAACAAATACTTCTCAATATATTCCCAAAAAAGTAGAACAAATTAGATTCATTACATTAAATATTAGTACTGTAATATTTCAGTTGTACAGTAAAATGCAATATTTTATAATTGTATGCCATTAAATGCATTTGTATTTAATATTTTAATTTTATATAATACTTTAATATTATTTTTAAAAAATTCAATTAATAAATTATATTTACAAATAAAATAATATAATACAATATTTTTACATTTAATTTGATACTTATTTTATTTTACTCAAGACATATTTTATATTAATAACAGGTTAAAATTTGATTGAAAAATCACAAATAAAAAATAATATAAATGTTTTATTCATATTTATGTTTTATTTTCATACTAATAAATATACTCACAATACCTTTGGTCTTGTATCTTTACAAATAGGCACTTAATGCTTCTTAAATATTATATTTTATCTTAATAAATTATTTTCTGATTTGTTTTCTCAAAATTTGTGCAGCCCTAAAGGGGAATTAGAAAAGCAAACACTTATATACATCTATTTATATTAAATTAGCAGGGAAAATAAGTCAAATGATCACAATTTCTTCCAGCAAAAATACATTTTAACAGCTAAACATCTGTCCAAATGCTTAATATTTCAACATACAAACAGAATTATGTTTACAATTTCCAACTAGCAATCCTGAATACAATTCATTTCATGTTTAAACTTATTAAAGGACTGTAAATCCAGTCACTGATTCGCTGAGATTATTCATCATAATTAGGTCTAGCAGGATTCAACCTGTTTACACCTTTATATACTCAACTACACACACACACACACACACACACACACACACACACACACAGGCAAAACTAGCAATATAAGAACCTGTTTCTAGCTCAGATAAATCCAACAACAGTCTAACGCTAATTCAACAACTGCCCTGACTAGAAAACAGCTGAAAGGCAGGAAGATTTCAACCCATGCAGTTACTTTGTTAGAAAACATTGACGTCTTACTTGCACAAACTAGCATCCAGAACAGTGATGGTGGGTTAGTGAATGAGGAGGGAGAGTATAATTAGCTCAAATGTGAACTACACCCACACAGAAACACACACATACGCAAGCACACACAGATACTCACAGACTCAAACTGCGCCTGATCATCCTCCGGCAGGTCACTCGTCTCGTAAACATCAGGCTCGTTGGAGGCCTGGAAGGAGGAAATGATGTCACCATATTAATATAATGTTGTGTCAATAATGTGCATGTATGCATATTTAAATACAGCTATGGGAAAAATTAGGAGACCACTTAAAAATCCTCAGTTTCTCTACACTCATGATTTATAGTTACACTGTACAAAATGCTGAGTTCCACATAACGGATTTATGTTGAGACAATTTATGTTAACTTATTAGATTTTACAAATTTAAGTGGATTAAACATAAGATAATTAAGTTGCCCCCCCCCCCCTCCCAAAAAAACTCAAGAATTGTGTCATTTCAGCTCATTTTAAATAAGTAGTTTGAACAAACAGCAAACATCATTATTTGAGTGTATAAATTTGAGACTTTTCTGTTGTATGTGCTGATGACATTTCTTTCAAACTTAAAATAAAATGTTGTCCATTAGAGCTTTTTTTTACTTAACATAAAAATATGTGGGCATCACAGTGGCGCAGTGGGTAGCACAATCGCCTCACAGCTAGAAGGTCGCTGGTTCGAGCTTTGGCTCAGTAAGAATTTCTGTGTGAAGGTTGTATGTTCTTTCTGTGTTGGTGTTGGGTTTCCTCCACAAGTCCAAAGACATGTGGTAAAGGTGATTTGGGTAGGCTAAATTGTCCGTAGTGCGTGTGTATGTGAGAATAAGAGTGTATGGGTGTTTCCCAGTAATGGGTTGGGGCTGAAAGAGCATCCGCTGGGTAAAACATGTGCTGGATAAGTTGGCGGTTCATTCTGCTGTGGCAACTCCAGATTAATAAAGGGACTAAGCCAAAAAGAAAACGAATGAATGAATGTTTTAAAAAAAATGTCTTGTTGTCAGAGGCATATATATATATATATATATATATATATATATATATATATATATATATATATATATATATATATATATATATATATATATATATATGAGCAATTCCATGAAAATGTCAACCTTGCCATGAAAAGAAAAATGTTTTCACCAAAATAGCGAAACTGTTTCTACATTTTTTGCACAGGCAAGTGTTTTACAGTACTTTAAAAATACTTAAAAATGTTTCTGTCAATGTTTTCAAACTATTATTGGATGTATTGGATGTGTGTGACATCCGTCACATCCATAACGAAAAAGTGTCACATCCATAACAAAGCTTTTCCCCTTAAAAATGCAAAAAAGTCAAAATAAAATAAAATCAATCAGTTTTGTTCTATAAAGAGCCAACTCTTATCCTTTTGTTGAGCATTATTTATTTGGGGTTGTGCAGTTTAATTCACAGAATTTCTACGAAAATATGTTGTATGCTGTAAACTCGCAGACTTTTTTTGTCACATCCATAACGCTTGTTTATTTTCCTCATTTAAAGTATAAAAATGTTTCTTTGATTACATAACTCTGTGGTTAGTTGTTTTGGAAAATATAAACAGATGATTCAATATAATGTTAACGTAAACTTTCTCTGCAAATTTATGTTTTGAATTTTTACTGCAAATGTCACGTCCATAACGCTGGAATCAGCCATATATATATATATATAAGAGCAATTCCGTGCAAATGTCAACATTGCCATGAAAAAAAATTACGTTTTTACCAAAATACGGAAACCATTTCTGCGTTTTTTTGTGTAAGCAAGTATTTTACAGTACTTTAAAAATATTTAAAAGTGCATCTGTCAATGTTTTCAAACTACTCTATTTGATTTACCAAAGTCACACAAATGGTAATTTCACATGCGTCACATCCATAACAGAGAGACGTCACATCCATAACGACACTTTTTCCTTAGAAATGTGAAAATATAAAATAAAATAAAACCAATCATTTTTGTTTTATAGAGAGCCGACTCTAATCCTTTTGATTAGCATTATTTCTTTTGGGTTGTGCAGTTTAATTCACATAATTTCTACAAAGTGTGTTGTATACTGTAAACTCGCAGACTTTTTTTGTCACATCCATAACGCATGCTTATTTTCCTCATTTAAAGTAAAAAACACGTTTTTTCTGCTCCCATAACTCTGTGGCTAGTTGCTCTAGAAAATATAATCAAAATTTTCAATATAATGTTAACATATACTTTCTCTGTCAATTTATGTGTTGAGTTTTTACTGCAAATGTCACATCCATAACGCTGGAATTGCTCATATATATATATATATATATATATATATATATATATATATATATATATATATATTTTTTTTTTTTTTTTTTTTTGACACAATAACATCTTTTTTATGTTCAGAAGAGTTTAACAAATCAACATTTGCTGGAATAGCCCTGATTTTCACTCACAACAAACGAAAACACTCATTATCCTCAACAATTGTCATTTAGTGAAATAACAATGCTAAATTACAATAGTTTTATTTGAAACTTTCTCATATTTTTAACTAGACTAAATAAATTAAATATTAAAATCTTTCTCAAGCCCATATGACAGCGTTAAAGATGTTTACTTAAAAACGATTCTTAAAAATATAACGCTAAAACACGAGATTACTAAAATAAAAACACGGATGGAACTTTTAAAGATGAAGAGAACCAAATGTAAACATCCACACCACCACTGAAAACCAGACATGGCTGATCAATATTGAATGGTGGTCATGCTCTAGTAAACAACACAAACAGACACAAAACATAACATAGAGGTAAATTTGGTTTTATATTGGGATATTAAGACATTCTCCTTATAATATAATTTCAGAAAAGTATTCCTTGCAAATTCTAAATAGCGAAATCACATTAGCAGCCAATGACTATTAAAGTACAGCATTGTTTAAAGTGAATTAGACAGTGTTCATGTTGTTTAGAAGTCATACTAGCATGCTAATTCAGACTCAATATTCAAAGTAACATGGCAAACAATATAGAGACTGCTAAATGAACAAATGTGCGAATATAAAACCAAATTTACCTCTATAACAAGCAACCAAAAGCCCTGCAATAACAGGAGATATTACAATAACGTCATTTTATTCCAGCAGTTAGTCCTCGATCTGGCCAACGCCCTTAACACACACATATTTCTTATATTCATGCATGCAAAATACAACTGTGCAGATTACTCTTCACACAACATGCAGACGACAGAGCAGAAAAGCAGTCATTTATTTATTAAACAGCCGGTATTTATAAGTTCTGTCAGTTATGTGGAGCATCAGACATGAGCCGTTACATGAAATAACTCCGGGTCTCAAATCAGTTGATTAGTTTAATACCCTCCCGCATGTTTTATTCACTCATAACTCTTCATTAGTCCGTAAATATGTTTTGTTTTGTATAAATAAGTGTTCCGCTATCAGCCGCTCAGCCCGTTAGCCTGGAGGCTAATGCTAACCCTGAGGTCTGTTATTGTGGTGATGGACTGAATAAAACACTTACGATGCCCGGCAGGTTCGCGTACTTCGGGTCGGCCATTGTTGCAGCACGCTGGAGACAAGTAATTTAATATAAATACCTATTAATAAGTTGCTTTACTGTAGATATAAATGAGATATAAACGCTGGATGAAGCGGATGACGCTGACACAGGCCGCCTGCTTCCACAATGACAGATGTGACGTCATTCAAAAACAAAATCTCGCACGGTCTCGCGAGAACGGCAGGGGTGAGGTTTATTATGATACCCTAATCAGATATAAAAAAAAAATACATAATTAATTATATAGTAATAGAAAACCATATCAAAATATTACATAGATATTGTCCATGCAATGATTTTATTAGTAGGTTTAAGGAAGGATTTTCACCCTTTTAGTACAATTTTTCATTTATTATGTTGGCTTGAGAAAGCCGACATACTGTTGTGCTACTCTGTCCTTGAAAACAAACGTATCTCCTCCTAGGCCGTTCATGCCACAAGGCCCAAATGTGGTCAAAATGTGCTTTCTACATTCAAGATTGTTGCTTTATCTCCTCATGCCTATAAGACTTATTGTTTTTTTTAATAAAAAATGTTAACTATTAAATTTTTATAATCCGGGCATATAAAAAAATTATACAAGCCCCAAATTTGGCCAAAAGCTGTATTTAGATGCGTTAGATTTTGTTGCTACATCTTTAAGGTTTATCAGACTTTTAGTTTTCCAATAAATAATTTTTAAGCATTATTTTTATCAAAATATGGCAAGCCATTTTTTACTTAAACTCCATATTTTTACTGATATGGCAAGCCATTTTTGCATGTATCACTTTCACACTTATTAAGCATTGTATTTTCAAAAAAATACGGCAAGCCATTTCTACATAATGTTCATTCCCTTAGTCCCTTTATTAATCAGGGGTCGCCACAACGGAATGAACCGCTAAATTATCCAGCATTTGTTTTACACAGCGAATGCACTTCCAGCCGCAACCCAACACCAGGAATACATAATGTTCAAGTCCAGTTTTTGACACTCATAAAGACTGTCATAGAAACATCGGGGTTGATTTAGATCACTCATATTGCCAAGAAGCTTTGATGTGTCATCACTAACCTGTCAAATGTCCCCATAGCAATAAAACAGTATAACCTAGCAACCATTTAAAAATAGCAATATCTCTACATCAGAACATCGTAGGGACCTGGGCATTGGCTTGTTTGACTCAAGCTAGCAAATGGGACTTCCCGTGTACTATGCATGGTAACAATGATAATGGAAGCCAAGTGCTAATAACGATTAGCTACATGCTATTAATGATTATCTAAATGCAATAACATATGCTAGAAATGCCTACTAAGTATTAGCATTTGATCAAACATGTACACAAGCATTGCCATTTAGCAACCACCCAACAATGCCATAATTGTTTTAGCAACTGCCTAACAACCACTTAGCAACCGCCGCCGTGCTTCCTGCCAACTGCCATTCCCAGTCCTAGCGCAGTCACGTTGGCTTTCTCAAGCCAACATCAAAGTTTATCAATAAACTTTAGGTTCTAGTTTTTCATTTGCAGTTACACTAAACTCTTTTTGTCCCAAGTAGTAGTATAAACGTATCAGTATAACTTAGGAATTGATTTATTTGTGGATAACTAAATAACTAAAATCCTTACAATATGACGGATGTTTACTGTGTGATGACCGTAATGGCCTTAAAACCGCAGCAGGCACAGGACATCAACATGACGTCAGATTGACGTTGTACCCTAACGTCATGGGGACGTTTGTTTGGAAATGAAAATAGGGTTGACATCAGAACTCAGCGTCAGGCTGACGTCAATGTCCAGCATCCAACCTAAAATCAACCAAATATCAACATCTAATGATGTTACAGCTTGACGTTTTTTTTTTTTGGATGTCATCGTTACGGCACTTATCAGATGCTGGATTTTGGTTGCCATACCTAATGAATAAATATCAGTATTTGACGTTAATATGACGTTGGTTTAAGATGTTGGCTCGACTTGGATTTTGGTCACTTTCCAACACAACCCAAAATCAACCAAATATCAACGTCATTATTGGATGTCAAAATAACGTCGTCCTTAGACGCTGGTTAGATTTAGAATTTTGGTCACCTGACGTTACAACCTAAATCTAACCTAATATTAACGTCTGACGTCGTGTGTTTGCAAGGCAATAACTAAATGCACTACAGAATGTTACGTTTACACACACATCCACAAATTACATGTAAACACATCAGCTTTACACAGAGTAATGCTCACTACTCCTGAATACTTTTACTCATACTTTGAGTAATATTTACAACAGATACTTTTACTCTATTTGCACTACATTTGTAGGCAAGTAATGGCACTTTTACTTGAGTATGAGTTTTCAGTACTATTTCCACCACTGTTAAAAACACAACCTAAAATCAACCAAATATCAACGTCATTATTGGACATCATTGTCTTTAGACACTGGCTAGATTTAGAATTTTGGTCACCTGACGTTACAACCTAAATCTAACCTAATATTAACGTCTGACGTCGTGTGTTTGCAAGGCAATAACTAAATGCACTACAGAATGTTACGTTTACACACACATCCACAAATTACATGCAAACGCATCAGCTTTACACAGAGTAATGCTCACTACTCCTGAATACTTTTACTCATACTTTGAGTAATATTTACAACAGATACTTTTACTCTATTTGCACTACATTTGTAGGCAAGTAATGGCACTTTTACTTTAGTATGAGTTTTCAGTACTATTTCCACCACTGTTAAAAACTCAATACATAGATAATGGTTGACCCCCTAATGGTTGAGCTAGCTACTACAGGTAGAAACTTATTCAAATAGTGACAGGAAAACAACCACTATATGACGTCTATCAGATGTTGGATTTTGGTTGCCATACCTGATGAATAAATGTCAGTATTTGATGTCAATTTGACGCTGGTTTAAGATGTTGGCTTGACGTTGGATTTTGGTCACTTTCCAACACAACTTAAAATGAACTAAATATCAACTTCATTAATGGACATCAAAATAACGCCGTCCTTAGACGCTGGTTAGATATTGAATTTTGGTCACCTGACGTCACAACCTAAATCTAACCTAATATAAACGTCTGCCGTTGTGTGCTTGCTATCCAATCACTAGATGCACTACAGAATGTTACGTTTACACACACATCCACAAATTACATGTAAACGCATCAGCTTTACACAGCGTAATGCTCACTACTCATGAATACTTTTACTCATACTTTGAGTAATATTTACAACAGATACTTTTACTCTATTTGCACTACATATCTAGGCAAGTAATGGTACTTTTACTTGAGTATGAGTTTTCTGTACTCTTTCCACCACTGTTAAAAACACAACCTAAAATCAACCAAATATCAACGTCATTATTGGACATCATTGTCTTTAGACACTGGATTTTGAATTTTGGTCACCTGACGTCACAACCTAAATCTAACCTAATATAAACGTCTGACGTCGTGTGTTTGAAGGCAATCACTAAATGCACTACAGAATGTTACGTTTACACACACATCCACAAATTGTAAATACTCCTAAATACGTTTACTCATACTTTAAGTAATATTTACAACAGATACTTTTACTCTATTTGCACTACATATCTAGGCAAGTGATGGTACTTTTACTTGAGTATCTTTTTTAGTACTCTTTCCACCACTGATGGTAACCCATGAAAACTTTACCATGCCCACAGCTCTCAATGATGTTTGGTTTTTCGCCCTTTATATGAAAAAGTTTGGGCAGCCCTGGTCTAAAAGAAAAGTAACATTAATAATAAACAGCTTGCAGATGTGATCTGCGCTGTTTTCATCGTGTGATTGTACTTTTGTAAATGTAGAGCAGCGGTGCTGATGCGAGTGTCAATCACACAGTCCCCGCCTCCCGCCAGACACCGGCCAATCAAAGCGGCGCTGTGCCAAGCGCGTGTCTCCGTATCCCTGCACCATCACTGCACTTCTGCAGCACAACACACACACACACACGAGAAATCCACAAGAACACGATCACCATCATCTGTGTTCTCTCTATGAACATCTAACACGGACTCCCTGGATTAATCATGCGTTGATTAACAGCAGCTCTGCTTTATTTCACCCGTCACTGAACGCCATTCATCTGCGACTATTGAAGAACACACACACACACTCACACACACACATATATATAAGCGCCTCTGTTGCGTTTCTTGTGCTCCAGGATGGCTGATATCAGCGCAGAATGCAATATCAGGGTGTTGTGTCGCTTCAGACCCCTCAACCAGTCCGAAATCCTCCGTGGAGACAAATTCATGCCCACCTTCCAGGGGGACGACACTGTTATCATCGCGGTGAGTTCATTTACTCAAGTTTGCATGCTCGGGTTTTACACACAGCGAGTGTAAAGTGACGCAGATGCATTTTCAAACTTTCACGTTTCACACTCCTCCAGATGGGGAGGCTGCTCAGTATTAATGAAACGCTCGTGCATAAATGCAGAACACGCTGTGGCGTTTATGCAGATGTTCATGCGTGCTTACAAGTGTGCATTTCTTTATTAATGATCTGTGTATTATTTAGGTCTACAATGGTATTGCACTTTCATCAGATACATATCAGAGATCATATGTATGTATAAGCACATCCTGTAGTAGATCCCCTTTCTCTCTCAGACACATATGCATCCCATATGTGCGCATGCAGATGTGTGTTGTATACATAAGAATAGAGAGAAAGATATTAAGAAAAATCAGAGAAAAGGGGAACCAATAATAAATATAAACAATAATAAAATAATATCAGCATCATATATTATTAATTTGTATTAAAATAACATATAATGTAGATGTATTAAATATAATCAATATGCAGAGAGAAATCCTTACATCAGAATTTGAACTAAAAATCAGATCAGGTCTATGAGATGTTGCATAATTGGTGCGTTTTTTTTCTCACTTTAAAATAAATTGATTAATTATCTGCTTTAATTCCTGTTATTTGCTCCATTTTTATGCATTTCCATCCATGCATTTAGGTATAGGACTCTCGTATTTTTGGTAACGCTCATTTTAACAGCCACCAACATGATATATCCTAAATATTGATCTCTTTTTAACTGAGATATGTATCTAGAAAATCTAATTTAACTCTTAAATGATGTTGCGTTTATAAATATAGACAGAATCAGAACTTCATAATAAATATCATACACTCTAAAGAAAAAAATCTGAGCTGTTTTAACCCAATGTTGAGTCAAATATGGACAAACCCAATGATGAATACATTATTTTTCAATTACATTTAAGTGATTTTTTAATCCAACGATGACCCAGTGTTGGATTAAAACAACCCAGCATTTTTAAGATACATATCAGAGATCATATGTATGTATAAGCACATGGTAGATCCTCTTTCTCTCTCAGACACATGCATCCCATATGTGTCCATGCAGATGTGTGTTGTATACATGAGAATAGATAGAAAGAGATTAATAGAAATGAGAGAAAGGGGAACAAATAATAAAATACAATAATATTAGTAACATAATATATCAATTTGAATAAAAAACTATATAAGGAGTGATCCATCACATCCGAATTCTAACTAAAAATCAGATCAGGTCTATGAGATGTTGCATAATTGGTGCGTTTTTTTCTTACTTTAAAATAAATTGATTAATTTTCTGCTTTAATTCCTGTTATTTGCTCCATTTTTATACACTTCCATCCATGCATTTAGGGTAGGACTCTCTTATTTTTAATGCTCATTTTAACAGCCACCAACATGATATTTCCTAAATATTGGTCTCTTTGTAACAGATATGTATCTAGAAAATCTAATTTTACTCTCAAATGGGGTTGCATTTATAAATATAAACAGAATCAGAACTTCATAATAAATATCATACACTCTAAAAAAAATCTGGGTTGTTTTAACTTAATATTGAGTCAAATATGGACAAACCCAATGATGAATACATTGTTTTTCAATTACATTTAAGTGATTTTTTTTAATCCAATGATAACCCAGCACTGGATTAAAACAACCCTGCATTTTTACAGTGTATAAAAATACAAAATGCACATTATGAGAGGCCTGATGAGTGTTCTTGATGATACACAAAAAATTTCACATAGGTCATGTTTGTGCAGAAAAACCCATAGAAAGATAGATAAACCCATGTCTCCGTTCATTTACATACACACACCCACACACACACACCCACATTCACACGCATGATCGGCTCCAGTGCTGCTGAAATATACAGGGATTTTCATCCATCTGCCAGAGACGGCTTGAAATGATGTGTTTGATATTTCTGTGCTGTATTGATGACTCACAGATTGATGAAAATAAAATAAAAGACATTTCTATGTGGGCGAGATGAACCAATGAGGCTTAAAAAGCAACTTGTGTTATATCGAGATTTTTCTACTAATTCTGTTCTTCCAAGCGGTGCGATTTCTAATAAAAAACAAGAAACAATGTAAAATGTTTTCGATAAAATTCCCAAGATTTTTTTCTTCTTCCAATTTTATTAAATTTGTGATTTCTGATTATTGCACGGCTCTTTGGAATACTTGATTCTGATTGGTCAATCACGTTTTTCCAAGTATGTTGTTCTCCAGTAACGTCTGATTAAACCAATACCACAGTCTCATCCGGGTACCACCTGGACCATCAGTCAATATATTAATATATTATTGAATACGGAAAAAAGTAATTCATAGTAAATAAAATAATGTTTTGACATTTTGAGCCATACTTGAGTACTATAATTGATCTGTTGTGAGTGGTGATTCCGTAGTTCCTATGGTAACGCAACAACTGTATTTATTAGTCTGTTGTGGTGATTCTATAGTTGCTATGGTAACACAATAACTATAGTAATTAATCATTTGTCATGATTCTACAATTTCTATGGTAATGCAACAACTATATTAATTAATCAGTTGTGATGATTCTACAATTTCTATGGTAACGCAACAACTATAGTAATTAATCTGTTGTGGTGGTTCTACAGTCGCTATGGTAACACAAAATCTATATTAATTGATCTGTCGTGATGATTCTACAGTTGCTATGGTAACACAACCACTATAGTAATTAATCAGTTGTGATGATTCTACAGTTCCTATGGTAACGCAACCACTTTAATAACTGATCTGCTGTGGTGATTCTACAATTTCTATGGTAATGCAACTATATTAATTAATCAGTTGTGATGATTCTACAGTTTCTGTGGTAACGCAACAGCTATAGTAATTGATCTGTCGTGGTGATTCTACAGTTGCTATGGTAACACAACAACTATAATAATTGATCTGCCGTGGTGATTCTACAGTTGCTATGGTAACACAACAACTATAATAATTGATCTGTGGTGGTGCTATGGTAACGCAACAACTATAATAATTGATCTGTCGTGGTGATTCTACAGTTGCTATGGTAACACAACAACTATAATAATTGATCTGTCGTGGTGATTCTACAGTTGCTATGGTAACGCAACAACTATAATAATTGATCTGTCGTGGTGATTCTACAGTTGCTATGGTAACACAACAACTATAATAATTGATCTGTGGTGGTGCTATGGTAACGCAACAACTATAATAATTGATCTGTCGTGGTGATTCTACAGTTGCTATGGTAACGCAACAACTATAATAATTGATCTGTCGTGGTGATTCTACAGTTGCTATGGTAACGTAACAACTATAATAATTGATCTGTCGTGGTGATTCTACAGTTGCTATGGTAACGCAATAACTATAATAATTGATCTGTCGTGGGGATTCTACAGTTGCTATGGTAACACAATAACTATAGTAATATAAACAAATGAGCCAATACTTAAGTTTTCTACAACTGTAGGCTATATTATACTACAATTTACCACAGAAGTTATTAGTATAGTGCAGAGATATAACTAGTAAACCAGCTAGAGAAGATGTGTGTGTGTGTGTGTGTGTGTGTGCTTATACTGTAGACGAAATGCTCAAGTTAATTTAACATGACCAGAAGTCTCCAATAGTGTGTGAAGCCCCAAAGGTTAAATCTGGTGAAGCTCCTGCAGGAGAGAAAGCGCTTTCAGAAACACATTGATCTCGCTGGCAGGACTATAACAGGCTCACAGTGCTGCATAAACACACCCGTCTCTGAAGCTCACATTAAAGATAGTGTGTCTGAAAATACGTATGTGGCTGATTGTAGAAATACAGATACGTTTTGTGTCTTCTGGAAAAACATTCTGGTGTTTTTCAGAAGCAAAACCTTTATTATATCATGTTTGTATATGTATTTAGAGGCATTTTGTCTTGTAAACATTAACTAAAGACAATATCTAGTTTTTGCCTCCTGAATCATACATTCAGCTTCATTTGTCATTAATTAATTAAGTCTATTTTTCATCTTTTTTGTGTGTTTATTCTACTAAGTTCAATAGACATTTACATGAAACATCTATTTAGGAAGGGGTGGCGCAGTGGTGTAGTGGGTAGCGCTGTAGCCTCACAGCAAGAAGGTCTCTGGTTTGAGTCTTAGCTGTGTCAGTTGGCGTTTCTGTGTGGAGTTTGCATGTTCTCCCCGTGTTGGCGTTGGCTTCCTCCGGTTTCCCCCACAGTCCAACGACACAGTTGGTGAATTGGGTAAGCTAAAAAATGGTCTGTAGTGAATAAGAGTATGTGAGTGTTTCCCAGTGATGGGTTGCAGTTGGAAGGGCATCCGCAGCATAAAACATGTGCTGGATAAGTTGGTGGTTCATTCCGCTGTGGTGACCCCAGATTAAAAAAGGGACTAAGCAGAAAAGAAATGAATGAATCTATTTAGGAAGGGGTGACGCGGTGGTTAGCGCTGTCTCCTCACAGCAAGAAGGTCTCTAGTTCGAGTCTTAGCTGGGTCAGTTGGTGTTTCTGTGTTTGCATGTTCTCCCCGTGTTGGTGTTGGTTTCCTCTACAGTCCAAACACATGCGCTATAGTGGTATTGATGAACTATATTAGCCGTAGTGTATGAGTGTGTGTGTGAGAATGAGTGTGTATGGATGTTTCCCAGTACTGGGTTGCGACTGGAAGGGCACCCACTGTGTAAAATAGTAGTCGGTTCATTCCGCTGTGGTGACCCCTGATAAATAAGAGACTATGTCGGAGGAAAATGAATGAATGTTTCCACAATTCTGCAATGTGTCTAGCTTCTGCTGCGTAACAGAGCTCATTAAGGGATTTCTGGGTCAATGAATTATTAAATAGTTATTATCAAGAGAGAGCCATTAAAATAAAGTGAATTCAGTTTACGTGCAGGAGGAGCGTCACACATTAACATGCAAACACTGGGAGAGAAACTGTTTAACTG